GGGGCGCCTGGCTGCGGGGGAGTTGCCCGGGCCCGCGTGAGACGGCGCATCCTCGCGGGCAGAGGCACCGGCCGGCCCTGCCGCTGGTCCCTCGGTCCCCTGCCTGCCCTTCTCACCTGGGCCAGGGCGGCACCGCAGCCCCCCGGGGTGCGGGGACCGCCGGCCGAGGGCTAAAACGCCGTTCCTTCTCTTAGCGGAAAGAAATTCAAATTGGAAACCATTTTTAAACCAAGCCGGCTAAAAATCACGCACAGGCTCGCAGGGGAAGGAGAGAATAAAAAGGGCGGGGGGATTAGAAAGTTGAGAAAGTGTCTCTAGGCAAGTTAGACAGGTGGACCTGCCTGGGGAGCTACTGGCTAGCTTGGGGGAATAAAAAACGGTTAATAGGTTGGGGAACAACAACCAGTCTTTCAGCTGTTTCCGACTGTTTGATCTTGTTTAATATAACATTGGGCGAAAGGCAATTTAATTTACAGCCCAAACGCTTATTTAATATCCTCCTCTCTTCCACCCCCTCCCCAAACAGAAGGACCGGGTATAATCACGTTATTCGGGTGCCCGTATTTCTGCACAAGCCAGTACCACTCAGCACTGCTGATTTTCCTTCTCTGGTCGAGAGACTGCAAAACGAGAGGGTTCAGTTTAGAGGAATCATTCGCGCAGGAGATGGTTTTAAAAAATGAGAGCAGGGCGTGCTCCAGGAAAAAAAAAAAAAATCTAAAAAAAAATTATAATGCGAACGAACGAACGAAAAAAAAAAATCTCTACTACTCCCCCTTTTCCTGTGTATCGAAATTCTGGCTTGTATGTTTAGCTAATCTAATCTATGGAGAGGGGCTGGGGGTGGGGATGGAAGGGAGGAGTTGGAAAGAGCTGAGACGCTTGTGACAGTTTAAATTCATGCCAGGTTTCAGCCTAATTTCAACTGATTTCGGCGTGTGATTTTCGGTCCCACCGATATGCTAGTTAATATTTTATACCTATCACGGACATGCTGTAGCCTCGGATCTCCGAGAGGAAACGGAGCTTTTGAACGCGCCTAATTTTCCCTAGGCATTTGCTGGGGTAGCACCCTCGTCTTTTCATAGGGGTTCCCCTTACAGGAGAAATGCCAACAAAATGCCATTAAAACCAACCAGCGAACACCTCCCTCCGGAGGCCAGACCCTTCCCAAAGTTTTATGCAGCCGATATCCAGCCCGGAGTCGGAGACGGGGAGCCCGGAGGAGCGATTACGGCCAGGGACAGTTTTCGTTTCGGAAGTGCAAACGAGCGCTTCGGCGTGGGTCCCCGCCTTGCTGAAGCACAGACGCAGTTCAGGACCTTTTAGTACGTTCAATTAACTTACGATTTGCAGTTAGGCATTTGCGTTTTGGGATGCCCCTAAGTATATAGGATAATATACATGTGCACGCGCGCATCTGTGTGCGTGTATACACACATATATATATAAAAAATACGTGTGCATTTGATGAGGGAAAATGGATTTAATTCGGGATCATCTGCAGATGTGGCTCCCCCCCCAGCCCCGCACTGCCCAGAAGGTGAAGCAGGACAAAGGAGGCAGCCGGGGCAGGCTCGTCCCGGGACTCCGCCGGTGGCCGCGCTGGATGCGCACCCCGGCGGGGCGCCCCGGGCAGGCAGGGGATCCCAGGGGACCGGTTCAGCCTCCAGAGGTGCCCCCTGCTCCAGCACCTCTTCTATTTTCGTTAGCCGGGTTTAAAAGAGAGCCGGTGCTTTAGGCCGCCTGGCATTGGGGGCGGGGTGGGGAGAAAAGAAAAGGAGAAAAGAAAGCTATAAAGCCAAAACATGAGCATCCCCCCCTCCGAGACAAAAAAAGCAACTGTTTTTCCCCGCTGCTTCCCAGCCCTCCTCCCCTCTGCCCGGGACAAGCGTGCACAGCGGCTGCCCGCGGTCGCCAGCTCGCTTCGAACCCCGTTGAGCTCCCGGAGGG